ATCTGCGCCTGTGAGCAGTTATCCTGATAGCTCGCAGGGTCATGTAGGCGCGCAAGCCATCACACCACGTCAAGATGCAGTCTTGTCTTGATGGGTAATAAAAAGTGCTCAGTGGATGAATTAAAAAAAAAATGAAACCCGTGAAATAAGATCACTTTGCAGATGTGGTCAGCAGGTGTGTATAGAATAAGAATGAAACACGTATAACCTCTGTTTACTGTATTTCACTCTATGATATAGATATAGCATTCATTCCAATCAATCATCCTTCTTCCCACCCATCTTCGCTGTCATTTTGCTTGGGTACACAACGATATATGGTTCTTAAAGTCTGTCGCTGTTGATCCATACACACTGAAGATGTTCATACACATAGTTGTTTTCCGTTTAAGGCCTCCAGCACAGATGCGATATCCAGCTCGCAACCCGGAACTTTGCTGACCGACGCTAATGGAAACACCATCCCAGTTGTCCAGGTGGTTTCCCAGGCCGGTGGATTAACTCTTCCCATCGTTCAGGATGCGAACGGCACACGAACACAGATTATACAACTTCAGGTTAGCCCTTTTTCACTCGTATTTGATAATATTAGTTTATGCCCCTCCCTGATCATGTTGAGTGTGGTTTTGGCTATTGTGGCCATATACTCATATTTAAACCAAAATATACAAAAATCATCTCACTGGTTGATTAAAAATATGAAATATGTTATATGGTGCAACATTCAATAAAGTTGCTGTGGGACTTGTGCCCAAAATACGTTTCAAATATGAAACTGTTTAGCATATGTGCGCATTGATATGCTCTCACATAATGGTACTGTGGTCTTGCACCTAGATGGGAGCGGCAGGTGTTTAATTTGGTGTGCCAAAAGGTTTCATTAGCCGGTTCTTTACTTGTACTGATGTGTTCGCTGTTATTGAAAAATGCCTGTTCCCGCTCAACTTTGATGATATAACGGCATTGAACCGTCATCTCATGCTAACTATCAACTATCTATTTCTTACTACACACATTTGTGTGATGGGCCGCAGTCAAGTTGGACCCCATAGTCGTGAAGACCTGCTTCTCAGTGATGGATACTGACAACCTAGTCCCCGGGACTTGGGGTACCGAACCACACAGGGCCCCACTGGGTTAGGCGTAGTGTTGAACTGGACGACAGCAAAGCTGCCTACCCATCGGAGGTCATATCGTCCCCCTCCTTCAAGTCAGCCTCTAATTTCTCTAGATATTAATGGTGCAGCCTCTAATATACTGCCCTCTCGAACTGATCCCACAAATCTTGGATCTTATTTGCGTCGGTTTTGCTAGAGAACTCTAATTAGAGATCTCAGAGCCTTTTTCTTACCTCTTCATAGTCTCCTTGTGCTTCGTTGGTAATCATCTAATCCAGTCGTTTACTGGCTGTCCATATGGAAAGACCGAAATACGTGCCAGTCCCATACAATGACTTCGCGGATTCCACTTGTACGTCCGACGGCTTTTGTTTTCGTTCACATCATAGAAACTCAAAAGGACAGGTAGATGCGCGGGCTGGCGAACTTCAAAGTGCACACATCTGTCTGACCTTCAGAACAAATTTCATTGTTTCTACTCGTTCAGCGGTAGATATATGGTGCACGTTGCCCGTGAAGATCCACTTCATCGTTTCAACTATACCAGTTCCGTCCCACTATGTATTTTTCTTCATGGTGTTGTTTATGAAGTGTATGCTGTGTTACAATTTAGATGTATTTACGTTAAGGAATACTTATTTCTCTAGGGAGGGGAACACCTATTCATTTTGCTTTAATTTCTGACCTTAAAGATGTAGAAGCCTTGCCAGGTGGGTAGAATATGTATCGGCTGATGTCGAATTCCAAGTTGGCACTTGTGTGCAGTATTAGACTGTGGTTTGTTACAGATAGGCAAAACATATCTTTGTGGTCGTTTATTGCACTTTCAAGAGTTCCGAGACAGCCGGGATGATGTGTGTAAATCATTTTAACGGCTTCATCAATGCAACAACAGGAGTGCACAAAACATGGCGTGGAAACATTCTGGAGCCGCATCTAACACAGACTGAAAAACCTCACAAAATCTGTCGGTGACATGATTTAGGCTATCTAGATGACGTGCAATACCCTTTGTGGTTCGATTTCTCAATCCAGACATTGCCTAATGACATAGAAAAATTGCTGCAACATATCTGGTTCTTCTATCCATGTTTAAAATTTAGAGAGTCCCCTTTGAATACTATGTTTTGTACAATACGCATATTTTACCACACCACATTCCGTCTTCTGGTTCATTAACACATCGAATACTTCTCAAGAGTAATAAGTATAAATTTCGGTCATTTCGCCATGGTGGGTCCGCACGGGTAAGGCGCGCCGATTGAATTACGTAAAAGTACACCTGAGCTCGGCTAATGGACACCAGACTCTAATTGGTTTATGGGAGCTGGCGTTTTTTGTCGGGCAGTGTAACCAATAGATTGGTGTTACTAAGTCCTCTAACGAAGTACGAGATGCAGATCGGAGAAGCAGTTTTCTGCGTCTTTTTTTTACCGAACTAGCAGAAACAGTGCAGGAGTGGTAGATTAGCATTCGAGGTTATACAATCAATCTCCCGCTATGTCGCACCCATTTGAAATTTGAAAAAGTGGGTAAATTCTAGGATCTGCGACAGCATGTTAGTCAGTAGCAGGTGCTATTACGTAGTGTGAAAAGTTGGTTGACAAAACAAACCGGATCGATTAATAGCACGTTAGTTCCGTTACTTGTTCCCAATGTTTATGATTACTTACTGTTTATTTACAACGGAATTTAGATATACCGTTCTCCATATCCTTTATGTATCGAAGAAATTGAAATCTTTTATGATGCCCTCGGCTTAGCCCTTTTTATTTTCAAGTATCTAGTCATTCTGAAACTGCCTACCTTTCTTCAGGGGATTTCCTTCTAACCCAACTATCGCATATTAATCCCAGATATTCCTCCATTCCTTTGCAATGTGAGGCTAACCACAGAATTGAGTATATGGCGTCTACCATCGTATAAAACTGTTTTAGCTATAATAATCACAACAATATCAAACCATTCGATGAAAACAAGAATGAACCAGATCGAACACAGTGAGAACACGGGCCAACAATCGCCTTCGAAGGAAATCATGTCATTCAAAATAAGTGAAATATCCATTACGGAGGATAGCCGTTACATTGACTTCTTTCTCATGTTCATAACTGTCTGTTCACTGTGCAATCTACTCACGATTTTTTGGTGAAAAATGTGTAGCGTTAGCTCTATAAACATCTGTGCATTTGTTCGCTTTTGTTGTTGCCAGTGTCTGTTCAAAACGGTTGATGCATTCGTTATGGCCAGTGTCGGCAAACACGAGTGACGGATTCAGCTGAACACATCATTTACAAGTTAAAAATGCACCGCTCAAACGTGTTGGACTCGGGTTACGATAACCTTCGACCAATGACCTGTCTAATTTCATAGGTGCTCTAGCAAGGACAAGTGTAATTGTCGTCCATTCCTTCACACAAGCGCGTCCGCGCAGCGGCGTTTATCGATCGCTTGGATGTGACATCTTACTCCACGTTCCCACTCACCAGTCAATCGCGATTATCGTTCACCCGTTTACAAGTTAGTACGAGCGACCGAATGGCCATGGATTTGGTGGCCACTGCAGCACAAGTGACCACATTCGAGTGCCCCACGGAATTGCGAGAAAAAAACCTTTGCCGATTACAAAGATGTATTTTCATCAAAATCATCAATCGTCGTTTGTCTCAATCTAGCTCTCCTTTGGAAATCAACAAGCGTGCTGTTCAAGTCATTTGTACACCCCAGTAATCGACCCTAAATCCTAGCGTTAGCCAGGGCAAACAGCTTCAATTGTTTCAGTAACTTCTGTGCTTCTCTTATTGAGATAACTTCCGTCGCATTCACTTTTACAAATTCTTCTTCTTTGCAACGCTTAGCTCGATTCGGAACAATTTCATTTCATGACTAAGAAGAGACTTGATGCAAAATTCTAAATAACCGACGCCTTCAGCATCAGATTATAAACAGGTGGTTTCTTCGTCAAAAAGACGTTCACCAGTGGACACAGTCAGTAGTCTTCAATCAGATCGAAATTGTTCTCTGGTGTCTGCATCATCGGCTGATCCAATTTGGGTTGGAACCCATCTTTTATGAAAGCATGGATCAGTACGTGCGAATACAAACTTTCTTTACCAGATGCCTGTCCATGGTGATGTCCACTTCGGATTTCATGCTCAGTTTCTCATTTTCGAGAGAACGACAAAACGGACTCCGGTAAAGGTTTCCAAAACGAACATTTAAAACACCAAGTCACACTTTGATTCATTGGTTGTGACATTCAAGAACTGTTCGGAGGCAGCCGTACTAAGTTAACATTGGAGAATACTGCGACTTTGTTATTTTTCTATAAATAGTAAAATAGAGCGTCTTCGAAAACCATTTTGTGGCTTTTTTCAACACGTAACCAGTTACAGAGAACTGGCAAATGTAAAAGATGTCAATGTTGCTCTTTTTCTGTATTTGTTTCTGAATTAGTCTATGTAGAACTTCTGTATCAAATTCATTTTGTAAGGGTGATACCGGAGGAATGTGCAACGCTTGGAAGTTTTTTCGTCTGGTTACAAAATCGTGGAACAAATTATCGGTTTGATGTACTCTGAGGTTGAAAAATTGTCGAAGAGCTGGAAACTGACAAACACACGTGGAATTAAACTGCTTTGACAACGATCTCATAGCTTTTTGCAACGCAACCTATTCAGATATCTTCGTAAATCACTGCATTTTCTGTTTCCAAGTACCACGTGTACATTTTTGTCGGATCAGCAGTTAATATATTTAGTGCTACCTATTTTAGGAACAGTGATGTGAACTGGGTTTATCAAGCCCTATAGATGACATTGGTTTCATCCACTGGGCAGTTCAACGTCAACCCCAAAGTCCTTAAGCTCCAGTCCTTTTGGGCATGTATACATTATTTATTATCTTTGTTACACTGGTAGTTGCCTTTTGAAATCATCCGTCAGTCGGGTCTACTATTCCTTCAGAAAACTTCATGGAAAATAAAATAGTAGCAGACCGTGATTATCCATCTATACAAGCTCAACAATCGCCATCTTTTGTAGATAATCACTTCTCAATAGTATTCTTTGGTAGTAAAAGGAATGGACACCCAGGCCTCGGGATTCCCTACACGTTTTCTGGTCCTTGCTTTATTGCGTACTGTTGATTTCATTATTCTACTACTTTCGACGGCAAACGTTTCAACAGTCGCATCAACTGGGGCAATATTTTGGAAAGAAGGATGTGTGTGTGTGAAGACATGACCAGTTTACCTGAGTGGGGCATACAATATACGAATGATCATAACCACGTGCAAAGTATGCGGGAAGTGAATTGTTATACAGGCAGCAGCAAATAATATGTCCAATTTCTAGTGTCCAGTTTTCTCATCTACCCAGTAAACATCGGACAGCAACAATCGGTTAGTCGAGGGAAAACATACCATTCTCCTAAATCCACCTTCAGATTTCTCTCTTTCTACTCCTTGGGGTATGTGTAATGAGCGTAATCTAGCGAGCGAAGACGAGGCACCAACTGACGCACTTTTCGAAGTGGTCAAACCTCATCGGATGTGAAACTACCGAAGTCAGAGGTAGTGCAAATATTGCAAATTAACGATGTCTGCTGTCACGCCAACAAAGTGCGCATGCGAAGCAGGTGGACCGCATATAGCGACAACTCTCATTTACATCGGCAGCTTTTGCAAAATCGAGTAGTTTCGCTTGATTCGGTTGCGAAAGGTAAACAAAAAACTGCATACCCATCCACTTCTCACCAAACACTGGTCTGTTGTTCTGTCGCGAGTTTTCCTTTTTAGAAGATTTCATTGGGCTTACTTAAACTCACCTTGTTGACTACTCCCTCCCTATATTTTTCGGATATCGGTCTCCGAGTTTCTCTCTAGTTTCACCTTCCTATTTCAACAACTGCTACTGATACTAGATAATTGGCGCATTACTGTTCGTTTTTTCTCTTTCTCTATGTTTCTCTTGCTTTCATAACTAGATGCCCGAGGCTGCGACTGGCGTGAGTATTGGTAGCGCATGACACAGTCGGTGTTGGATAGCATCATTTTTTCACCCGCTCATTTGTCCAGTCACTTTTCAACAGTGTTGCATGTTTGAGAACCTATCGTTGTCATGCATGTGGCTTCGCTGTTCATTGGTATTCCCAAATTTTAACTCAGCATGGTCTTGCAGGATTTGATTTTTAATCGTATCACATCGGGCTCTTGTTTATCTTCGAAGCTGTATGTTTTATTTTTATCTTTTGCTTGACTCCATTAGATCTTTTTGAAGTATACACGTTAGGCTTAACTGCCTCATTCTTCTCCTTTTGTTATTCACCCATCATCGTCTGGTTCACCGTCGTTATTGTTGTTTTCCACTGTTATCGTTCCTTCCCAGAATCCCAAGACCAGCTCCCAATGAAGTCGCTTTCTGGCGAAGTGTGCGCTTATCACGGTTCCGGTGTCGTCTACGTACACGCACACAAGTTTCTCGTCGTCTCCCGCCTGTTATAATGTATTGTACTTAGTTTCCCGTTCGATTGGGGCTCCTTTTATTCTTTAATCTTTCGTTTAGCGAAATTCTCTCCGTCCAGTCACTGGCTGTCTTACCATAATTCATCGGTCATCCGTTTCCCGCTGATGATCATGTCGCAATACTCTGTCCTGCTTGAACACTCACAAGAATTCGCGTTTCGTCATGAACTTTGTACTTAACACAGCACAGCATGATATTGTTGTTCCTTCCAACTCAACCCCCTCACACACACTCTCTCTTCTCGTGTTGCCTCCAACCGTCTTCAATTGTCGGTTTTTGTCCTTGTTGTCCAGTCAGTTTACAGATAGATAGTAAATTTTTCATTCTTTTGTTTTGCCCGTGTTTATTCTCCCTGCTCTCGAGCGCAATCGCTCCTGTCGAACGCGCCACTGGGTGATCCGTTGCTATTTTTCATTTGACTGTGTCCGCTAGCGCCCAACTCTTTTATTGCAACAATCGGGTCCTGTGTTGGCAGCAAATTCTGTGGGGACGGTTCTTGCCGGAGTCGAAGAGCCGGTCTATACTATTCAACCACAAACCTCCATCTTGAACACTGGCATGTCGGCCGCTACCACGACTCCTTCACAACTGTTGTTCTCTTTTGCTGATCCGAATGATTGTGTGGTTACGGAAGAAACGGATGATCAACAGCAGCAACAGTCTGAAGTGTTGTTGGATTCACAAACAGATGTGGTCACTAATGTAGTCCTTGAATCAACTGCTGCATCGAACCTGGTGGGCGAGACGTCGGGTGTTGCAATTGAAACGGTAGGCAAACCGACGGTTTCTGATGTGATTTCCGTTTCCTCAAGTGACTTGCACTTTTCTTCTCAGTCAGATTATGCAGCTCATCCTCGAGACGCGAATAGAGTGGACACCGAAAGGCAGCTAGATATCTCCAATGGTGTAGTGGTTACCGAACCGACTAATTGAATCACTCCACACGAACTCTACTTCTTCATGTCATTACCGTTTGTGCTTGTGTCCAGTATAATAATAATGTTGTACCGAGTGCCCACTCAATTCTGTGGCTACTTACATACTCTAGTCGTTGTACATACTACTCACTGACTGTCCGAACCATTCTTTTACACCGCACTACCATCCACTAATACTTGCAATAAACTTTCCATATGCTATAATCGAGTTGTACGGGAACTGCTATTCAGAATGGACGGGATTCGTGTTGGTTTTCTGTTTTCTATACCATACTCAGTTTTAATATAGACTGTACTTGCGTTCTGTGTATTTTAATCTTGTTCAAACCCAGTTGTGACAACAAAAATCACTGTTTTCATGAAACGTGACTGGAGAAAACTGAGACGAGCCTTTCGCGAGATTAATTTCAAAAGAAAAGGCCATTTAGCAATGCTGCACGATTGCCGTTATTCCAAAGTAGAAGTACATCACTCAAACATAGTATGGTGCGAAGTAAACCCTGAGTACGATTACCGTTGGCCAGTGTCCTGTCTAATTTCGTCAGTGCTCTAAGATGTACTGCTTCGATTATCGTTCAACCAAGCTCAGATGGGTCCGTGTGATAGCTGTTACTGATCGATTGTACACTTGACACTCGCTTATAAGACAGGTCAATCGCGATTACTGTTCAACTGTTAGCACAGGTACGCTAGTGCGACAAAGCAGGGTAAAAGATTACATGAATGTATTGTGAGAATACACAGATCAAGACGTGAGTGCTTTGTGAACGGGTACTTGGAAACGCTGGTTGGATGATCGGTTGTGGATAGATGATCGTGCGGATATCAGAACCGAGAACGATCGAAGAGCTAAAGCCGAGTATCGTCGCGCAGTACGAAAGTATTGCAACTGCCAATACTCTGCATGTGGAAAAAACTATTTTGGTCGTATTTTGCTATGGAAGCAGCAGGATGGAAAATGTATTGAACAACTTTTATAAAATAAATATGCACTTTTTCATAATATTTGTTCTTTTGGAAGTCTATCTCTGGCGTAGTTAGAAAGATCGTTCAATGCGAAGACAGTCAGTTTGGGAAATACAAAGAAACGTTTTGCGTGGACCTAGATTTTGTGGTCCGTACTTAAGACAAATTCAAAGGTTATTATGACTATCAGTTTACCGGACCCGCTTAGAAAGATTGCGTGTATCTTAGACGAGTCAATCATCGGCCTAATGTCATCATCGCTTGAACGTTTCCATTCCGAATTTCCCACATGGCGTATCGTTCCACAACTGATTCTCTGCCAAAACTTAATTAGCATCGGATTCAGTACTTCCTCCTCTAATACCGGCCCGAAAATCACGACCGATTGGGTTGACTTATCGATAGGTCAGATGGTTCAACGGCAACAAGGAACCTGGTGCTCACCCAGCTAACCCGGGGGAGAAACCACACCTTATTCACAACCGTGAGTATTTAGAAACAGTTAACTTTGAATGTACAGCAGGAGTGCCGTCATCACACGAATGGTCTGCACGTGTCAAGAACGTCACAAAACGTACAAGCCGGTAATCAGACAGTCTTGTGTCGGGTTGAGGGATTCCAAGAGCCGCAAATCGCGGAAAATGATTCAATCAGGTCAGGAAATTTACTCGTTCAAGGTCACGGGTGAGAAGGGCAAGACAACATGAAACAATGGAACAATCGCACTGTAGGTTTATGCGGAGGGAACACAGCGACACTGGCATTTAGTTGACGAATGGGTAAAACGAAATAAAATCTGTGTTCAGTGGATGAGGGCGTTTCATGGGAACCTTGTGTGCAAACATACATCCAGATGAAGTTCACACAGATTGATTACCAAATCTTCCAGTGGGATTGGAGAGACGGCTACTGACGTTCAGTTCACGTCAGAGCAGCTTTAAGTCCTTCTTTAAGAGCTTAGAAAAACAAAGGTGAACAATGAACTAAAACGGGTAAAAGACTGATACGCGAATTTGGGAATATTCGGCTGTTAAATTTGAAACTGAGGAAGTTTATGGATATGCATGGAATGTCGTCGAATTTTTGCCCCGGAGCAAGCGGCTGAACCCTATCGAGATGACTTTCCAGATTTAACGCTGTCAGTAATGCGCAACAGGCTATACTTCTACGACTGCTCGTTCGGGTGCAACTCGGAAGAACAGGGGGAGAACTGGCCAGTCAATTTATTACTATATCTCAGAAAGCATAATTTGGCGTAACCAAACGGAGACGAAGAGGTTCTCTCAGTGGAGCAGTGAACCCGTGATTTTAGCCGTCAGGTTTCTCTGAATACGAAATAATACTGTATCCATCCCGCGCTTGGACTTGTATGTGAACCTTCATGTATCTTTTTTTAATAGACTTCACACGAGGACGGTGCTACTTTCATTCATCGCTTGTATCTGCGACTGGCTTCGGTTCCTTGCTCACGTTTTGTAGTTCGCCAAGCGGGTACCGCAGGATTTCGTCAGTATTAACTCCACCCAACAAAATTCAAAGTGCACTGTCAACCCATGGTTTGACAGGTTCTCTAGTGCTGGAAGCTGGACACAACTCCACAAACAAGTGGTTATTTGCATAAGATCTAAACAGTACCTCGCTCAGGAGCAGCGGTCCAGCTCATCAATTTCGCTGACATTAAACGAGTTAAGTTAGGCTGAACCATCGACACTGAGATAGGTGCAAGGTCCCAGGTAGCACGTCGTTCGCTAATAGCGCGCAATTAGTGGCTACAAATGAGCTACTGCACCAAAGTGGTAACACGAACGTAGCTCACTGACTATAGTCTGTTAATAGCATGACAATAGCTGAGTGCTTTGAGCTGCATTTGAAAACATACCATTCTTTGCTTTTCGCGTTGCCCTCTCTCCGATCCCATGGTAACCCCATAGTTCCACACGGTTTTCTTATATCGTCATGGACTCGAACACAATTAATAATGATAAATGTCATCTTATTTCCTTTTTTATTCACTGAATATACAAATGTAGTCAAATTTCAGGAAGGGGGCTGCGGACATACGAAGGCCTCCTGGGGAAATACAGAAATAGACAACGGGCATAGATAAGGATGCATTTGACTGATTGAAAAAATCCCTTTATCGTCCCTCCCTGTACTCTCCACTATATAAATCGCAATTCCTCACATCTCCAGACACGCTTTTAGTTTAATGAAATGCATACATGCAGATATTTCATGTAAAAAGAAAACCATTTTAATAACAAACAATTTCATAGAAATAAAAGGGCTTTTCTAGGTAGTACTTTCGTGTTGCAATTTTTGGGAAGCAATTCCGTCTGTTTTTGAACCATCTTCGCATTTGTCGTTCAACAGAACCCATTAGGACTTCAGTAAATGTAGGATTACTCCGAATGGCATCTAATCAAGCTATGCACATCTTATCACAATTACTAACCAACAACACCTTCAATAAACAAACGACCGGAAGCCTGCAGTTTACCATTGTTTTCGGTCTAATTCATTAGCACAGCNGCAGTACTGTGCCAAGTCTCTCCCACCCAACTGCATGAATTGCTTCCCCTATAGTGTTTATAAACACTATATAGAAAACAAATTAAACCTAAAATTTTGGTCAAAATATATAGCAAATGAGAGATCAGTCCAATGTGAACTTACACACTAGCTCCAATTGCAATTCGTTTAAAACTCCTTGGGGCGCCAAATAACGTCCGTAGATCATGCGGGAGCTCCAGAAAGTATTGTGGAAGCGTTTTTAACCACACTCGATTGCAGGAATACTCGCATGTGTTTTTCTTAAACATTGTCTGGCCATATGCTTGATGCACTGTGCACATCCTTCCGTCCCAAGTGGTACTAAATGTCGAACGAAACAAGTTAGGCATATCAGCAGTATATTCCCTGAAAATCAGGGCGTTGGAGGGGCATTTGAATTTATTTGCAGGGATGGATTCACATGAGTGGGAATTAATCCTCCAGACATGGGATGTTTTTATTGAAGAAAACAGATTATGAGTAAAATACATGTTTCGTAATATCTTCCTGTGTATTGAGAGCGTCGGTGAGTGATCAGGGATTGTGCAGTTTTTTGGGACTGCTGCCGGGTGTCAACCTCCTGCCAGTATTTCGAGTGAATTCCGACGTCTGTTATGCAGTTTTGAAGATTCATCTTGCTGTCATTAATAATAATGAAAGTAATATTTATTTCGTATTATTATTGTACTTTTGTTATTATTATTAAACATATTATTATTACGCTTTTTTGTACTGCAAGTACAGCTTTTATTTGCCGAATTATAGTGCTTGTGAATAGTCTGGTTTTCAACGGAGTAGTCTTGAAGTATTACACGGGTGCGACGCTAGGACCAACGGTTTCGGATCTCCATTTCTAAGGTTTCTTCTGTTCCTGCGTCCTCGTTTGCCGGGTCCGGACGAGGCTCTACCGCGGTGGTCGTTGGATAATTAGAGTAAATAAGCCACCTGTCTGTCCGAGAATGTTACCTGAAACGATATAAGACTAGGGGAGGGGTGCAGTATCTGAAGTCAGTGCGACATATCGGAAAATTCAAGAAAAGCATGAATAACACCATGGGACAGAGAGTTGATTACCGTTTAGGGATTAGATCAAGATAGAGGTCTGGTCTACATTTGAAAGCGGATTTTGTGGGGGCATTAGATAATGCATGCGGGAGGTCATTCCAAAGATGAATTACCATCACATTAAGTCAAGTATTTGCTTTATGCACCCCGAAAGGTGAGTATTCAGCAGTCACATAGTCAACCAACAATTATCGAACAAAATTATGGCAGAATTATCGTAAGCAAGGAAAAAAAGAAAACAATTTACGATATGAGAGAATTAAGTTCCGAAGCGATGTGTTCTGGGCTGTCAGGAAAACAGGCAAGACAGGGCACCACAGAAGACCAATAGGCGGTCGTCCGAGCAAATATACAATTAAAACGATAACGGGTGGAAGAGGAGGGCACACACTTGATAAGATCTTGATGCAA